ATTTGATTGTGGAACTTAGGCCGGTTCCTATGGAACTTTTAGGCAGAATTCCTAGAGCCTTCATTAAACTGGGATACACATGCAGAGCCATTAAAGCACAGGCTATTAGAATACACCTTAAGAAAAGGTTGTGTGTGATTTTGATGTCTGAGATAGAGTTTAAGATATTTGTGTCACTCTTGTTGAATTAGAATCCTACTTGCTATAAAAAGGTTCAAGTTGTAGACACGTTTGTTTATGCACAATCTTAGAAACGTTTGACGTTACTTCTAAAATCAATTTTTTAAATTCAAGTGGGGGATTGTTGGAATATGTCCATGTTCCAATATGTTGAATTTAAAAATTTCTCAAGTCCCACATTGTTAGAATATCTTTTTGGTTGAAAAAAATCATTTAGTCCCACATTGCTCATGTGAGAAATATTAACTACCTTACTACACTATAGAAGGAGTGCACATGTTTCATTCCAAATTACACCAAAAACTATTCTATTAGTTTTTCCTTCCTCACTCTCATAACTTTGCGTCTCTCGAATTGTCGAAGCACCGTCTTCTTCCCCTTTCTTCTTACTCGTTGAATTTTCCGAGTATTTTCTTGAATTCTCTTTAGAGAATTATGTTAGTTTCTCCTCATTTGAGTTGAGAAATTTTCAAGTTTAATTTTTTGGATTCTCTTTGGAGAATTATTTGAATTTCTCTTTGTTGGAGAAATTATTATGAGTGGTCAAATGACCATTATTAATTTCTCTTTGGAGAATTTTTTGAGTTTCTTTTTGTTTGAGAAATTATTGTGACTGGTCTTTGTACTAGATACTACGAGTGGTGTTGATACCATATTTGAATGGTATTGTACCATCAAAGGGTGTATTACTAGACCGATTATCTACCATGCAAGTAGTAATCATACAGTATAGAACTAGGTTGTTTTATCCTAGAGGCGGCGTGGTAGTTCGACTGCTTTGCATAATTTTGAGCAGTGTCGCGAAACGTCTTAAAGAAAACGATCTAGTCCACGACTCAACCTGATAATTTCTTCGATGACAAATATTTCAAAATCCGAATATATATATATATATATATATATATATATATATATATATATATATATATATATATATATATATATATATATATATATATATATATATATATATATATATATATATATATATATATATATATATATATATATATATATATATATATATAATACTACTTAAGTCTTCAAATTTTTAATAAATGGGTAAAATGCCCCCTTTTTAATAAAAATAATTACAAAAAATAAAAGACTAACAATAAATACATTCAAATATATTTTTGTTTTAATTTTTCTGAATAAAAAAAGATATAAAAAATAATTAAAAATGATAAAAAAAATACTTAGTTAATCGGAAAAAATGAATATATTAAAATAATTACAAATCACAAAGTTTAATAAAAAATATTGCAAATAACCGAACTCAAAAATAAAACTAAAATAAAAATACCTAGTTGCACAGACGTTGACAATTAAAAAAGAGATTGCATACTATACCGAAAAAATAAAACGGGCATACCGACATGATCTACGCACAACGTAGATTCATAAAACAATCAACAAAGAATGAAAACTCGAAATATTTTACCTGTTAATTTTTTGCACAATGTCGAAACGCTTTTAACAATTTGTCTTTAAAACCGAAATATCAATATTATCGACATATAAACAACTTGGCCAATGCATGAAGTGGGTAAAGAGATAAAAAATGCCTGAAATGAAGTAAAGAATTTTTTTAACTCTAAAACAATGCAAATATCCATTTAAGTTGACTTTTGGTCAACCTAAATGCACGGCGACCGACTAATGATGCAAATTCAGTGAATGAATAATCTTGATGCAAAATTGGAGTATGACATATAGAAAGGGTGACACCTCTACTACCTATGATCGACATACTTTGATTGAATCACCAACTACTACCATTACAACCTGATTCTTGTTTTCGTCGAGCTACTGACGTTAAACAAAGCGTTGCGTGGGAAGCAACCCACGGATTTGCATTTTTTATTTTTTATTTTCGATTAATAAATAGCTAACTTGTGTGTGTTTTCTTTTCAGAGCCACTGTATTCTACTTAGCCAGATTTTATCCACTAATATTATTTCAGGATGCAGACTATTGATGAAATGAAGATCGTTTTAAAAAATGATAAACAAAGAAAGCACTATGATGTCATATCTGAAAGAACCATTTCATCTACCCGATACCCAAATTTTCCTTTCTTGGTTTACCTAGGACTCGTTGACAATGTTCATTTTATGTTTACTCAGATGAGTTGAGATAGGTTTTCAGTAGCAAAACACCCAACCTACAACAACCTCACACCGGAATTCTTGAGTTCATTTTGTTTCTAGTCCCACACTATACAAGGACAAGATAGAGGCTTAGCCACATTTAGACTCTCTGGTCAGGATTACCATCTCACCTGTAGAGAGTTAGCCAATCCATTGCTTTTCAACATATCCCCCAAGCATATTCTAAAGTGTTAGATTATATGCAAGGAGAATTAGACTTTTTCTGGGGAGGAATCACTAAAGATCTCCACCATGATCATGAGGCTATGAATAATACTTTCATCCATAACCCTTCCATTCGGTACTTTCATATGATTACAGCCCAAACATTATTTGGAAAAGCACCAAACCAAACTGGTGTGAGCAAAGATGAGCTTTTATTCATCATGAGTGTTTTCCAGAACTGCCTAATTAACTCTGCAACCTTCCTATTGAAAAATCTAAACAAGGTTGCTAATCAGATCATAAAAGACATATATGTGGGCGGACTAGTAACTCATATTGCTATAGCACTAGGCCTACGCAATCACGTAGCACTAGGACTAGTTTTATGTTTACCCACATGAGTTGAGATAGGTTTTCATTAGCAAAACACCCAACCTACAACAACCTCACACTGGAATTCTTGAGTTCATTCCGTTTCTAGCCCATACTTAACAAGACAAGATAGAGGCTTAGCCACATTTAGACTCTTTGGCCAGGATTACCATCTCACCTGTAGAGAGTTAGTCAGATCCCTTTCTTTTCAACATAGCCCCCAAGCATATTCCGAAGTGTCGGATGATATGCAAGGCGAATTAGACTTTTTCTAGGAAGGAATCACTGAAGATCTCCACCATGATTATGAGGCTATGAATAATACTTTCATCCATAACCCTGCCATTCGATAATTTCATATGGTTACAACCCAAACATTCTTTGGAAAAGCACTAAACCAAACTGGTGTGAGCAAAGATGAACTTTTATTTATCATGAGTGTTTTCCAGAACCGCCCAATTAACTCTGCAACCTTCCTATTGAAAAATCTAAACAAGGTTGCTAATCAGATCATAGAAAACATATATGCGGGTGGACTAGTAACTTATATTGCTATAGCACTATGCCTATGCAATCACGTAGTTCACTTAACCCCTATCTTTGGATACAACCTGCTTAATATCGACCATTGCCTAAATTATAGTTTAGTAAGGCGTGAAGAACCCGACCAGTTCAAAATTCTTATAAATTATGAAGTTGTCCATCATTTCACCTTACCAAACCAAGAGCTTACTAGCGTCCATGACCAGAATAAGGGAGGTACCAGATAGAAAAACCAGATGAAAACCCATCACCACCTGAGACTTCTCCCGCATCTGAAAATGGTTGTTTTCCTCTAGATGCACCTGCATCACCATCTTCTTCAGATCTCACTGATACCCAACATATTGACCATGAGCTTTACGCTTTAAGGAGAGAAATCATGGCCTTTCGCCGTGACCAAATAGAGGAAGTCGACAGACTAACAGAGCAGATGAACCACCTTTTCTAGAAGATTTGTTCATTAAAGAGAGCTCAAGGCCGTCATGGCCCCCGATCGTGACTACACACCAAGTTCTATCATTCCTATTTCACATTAGATCAAAAACATTGATGGCAATGCTTGATTTAAGTGCGGGAGAAGAACTTTACTCGCTTTCTAGTTAAATTTACTTGCTTTTAAGTTTTAAGTTTTTACAAACTCTATATTTGAAAACTTTTAAATTTTGTAACAAATCCTTAGAACTACACTTCATGTAAATTTTACCAACTCTTGTAAATTTTATCACTGAAATTCACTATTTTCATTGGTCACTATCACCACAATACATTTTTTATTTTGATCAAAAGAATATTTCTACATATTTATAATTATCAATGATAGTATTTATAGTTATTAGATATATTTGTAAATATTTATAGTTATTAAACATATTAGATTTATCATGTTGGTGATTTACTAAATATTTATTTTTAAATATTTTCAGTTATTAGTGATTTTATAATAATAAATGTATATAAGCAACAACTAAGTCTTATTGAATGATCTAAGATATGAATGAACTTACATGTGCGTCCTTTTATTAGTATTTTTCATAAGAATAAATTCAACCAACTATAACTTCTTACTATCATTCTTATTTACTAGTATTATTTTTTATTTTTTTTATAATTTAAAATAAACAAATTTTATAATTATTTTTAAGAATCTAAATTCCTACCAAACACCTAGGTTGAAACAATATTCCTAAAAATAATAATCTTAAGAATATTATTCTAATATAATTTTAAATCACTCCTAAAATAAAGTAGTAATTTTGAGATATATTAATATTTTTCATTTTTCTCTTAAACTAATTTGTGTCTTTACAGAAAATGTAACTGTGTTTTTAAAAACCAAAAGAAAATGAAAAAGAATTGTGCTTTTTTATTTTGAGAATTTTGAAAACAAGTAAAACAATTGAGAAACGGGCAAGAGTGAAGTGTTAAAATTTGTGACAGCGGCAACGTGCTGCTCACCCAAGACTCACAGTGTCAGTTTCTCCTTTCCCCTTTTTCGTTTCTTCTGTAATGGATTGTAACCAATGCACTGTTCTTCGTTTTCTGCATTTTTAACTATTTTTTAATGCTAAAATTAGGTTTCACTGTTCAATGTTAATCCATCACAGGGAGTTTATTAAATGGCAAAACAAAAGCACCCATGTTATACATTGCATGCTTCTTTTGATCGGGTAACATCTTTTATTTTATCGGTTGCCATGTTTCTATTTAACCTTTCCACACGATCCTTTTATATTATGTTCAGATTCTCAAAAAGTTTAAGCGGTTAACCTATTCAATTTTGTTGCTTGTTTAATTGTGAGAAGAGCATGCTGTTGTAGGTGAATAGAATAAGCAGTTTCTTGAACAAATTCTCAAGTATCAAAAATTCATTGAGACTTGTCTTTATTAGGGGGTGAGATTGGGTTCATTTTTCTCCATTTCTCTTTTTGCTCTCGCTGAGGCGGTTTAGGTTCTGATGTAGTTGTTCTCTCTATTGCGTTCTAGCAGTGCTTCTGCATTGCTTATGGTGTATTCTATTTTTACATTGCTTATGGTGTATTAAAACGGAAAGTATATTTCCTGTGCGCACCAAACTTTGATAAACTATACATTAGAATCAGAATTTAATTTCTGGTTTTGACCCGGAGAAGTAATTCCGGTTTTGTGCTATACAGAAATCAGAAAAACATCATTGAATAACACCAATATTACAACCGGTGCAGAATAAGAAGTATATCTTTGGTTTTATTTTTACATTTTGAAGGGCAAAACTACATTTAACCTATTTTTGTAAAATATATGATGCGAACCAAAAATACATTTCCGTTTTTTGAAGGCAATTTCGGAATTGTAAATGATCTTTCTTTTAGGCATGAGGTGAAATATGAAATTTCCTATTCTTTTAGTTCTTTTGGCTACCGAATTCACTTTTAAACTAAAAATTGATTTAGACTGAAAAAGGCTAACAAAAAATAATTAGTACAAACAAATAAACAAAATTATTATTGCCATCACAAGAATAATATAAAAGGAGCCTTTGATGAAAGGGACAAATTACTTTAGTAGAGAGATACAAAACGAACTTTGAAAATCACAATGCATATAATACAAACACAAACTATATAAATAAAAGCTTCCCTCTAAACAACATTAATCAAACGCCGAGTCACTGATGAAGTATATGTGAAGAAATCCCCTCGATCTCTTTTGTTCATGGCTTTCTTTGCATTCAAACACTCTGTTTAGATCCTATACAAATACAAATATACATTGGTGTGAGTTTATGTCTGATACTCTAATCCTTTAACAATCAAACACTATAAGAAAAATATTAACTTACAAGAATAAATTGAGAGAATGAGTTTACTGGAGAAGGTAAATTTTGTACTTATTAATATTATGCATAAAAAGTTACCATATGGTGTGATGCCAATTATAGGCTTCTAGTAGTGGTGAGGTGGAGATGATTTGTAGTAATAATGTGGTGGAGGTGGAGAATGGACTGGAGGAGGATGAGAATGGTAAACTGGGTGGGGAGCATGAGGAGGGTAGGTGTGAACTGATGATGGTGGTGGAGAGTGGTAGACCGGGTGAGGGTGAGGGGGGTTGGTATGAACAGGTGGTGGTGGTGGTGATGGATATTTGTATGGCTTCTTGTGTGGTGTTGGGGAGTGGTAGATAGGGGGGAGACGAGGGTAAGTGTGCATGGGTGGCGGCGGAGGAGGAGATGAGTACTTGTAAGGCTTCTTGTGTGGTGCTTGTGGTGGAGGAGAGTGGTAGACTGGGTGTGGGTGAGGGTATGTGTGAACCGGTGGTGGTGGAGAGTGGTAGACTGGGTGTGGATGAGGGTAGGTGTGAACTGGTGGAGGTGGAGGAGATGAGTAATGGTATGGATCCTTTGGTGGTGGTGTTGAGGAAATAGAATAGAGGTTTGCTGAAATTTCAGATGGGAAACTGAGAAAGAGCATGGCAAATGCAAGAATGAGTGAAGCAGAGGCCATTAGGGACCTCATTTTTTCTTACAAGTGGATTTTTGTTCTATGGAAGAATGCTGGTGCAACCTCATTTTATAGCTACTTTTTTAAAGCATCTTGATTAGTCAACTTGTCCCTTGAGACTCACCTAGGAAACATGATGTATTCATACTAAATTATACTATAAGGCTGGCTATCTTTGAATTACTAGTACTAGTACCTACCGATTCTTAGACTTTTATAGGAATATGACCCTAAGTATTTTGGAATGGTTGCGACTTGCGATCCAGGTTTCTTTAGTTTTGTTTTGGCAGACGCTGGCAAGTTGAAAAAATAATCAAATAGCTAGCTAGAATTATAGAAATGTTGACTACACCTTGATTTTTTGTCTCAAATATAGGTTAATTATTTCTAATATGTAAGGAAATATCAATTCTTGAGATGATTTATTCATATATTTAATAATCAATTCAATTTCATACCCAATTTTGAGATTTTGAAGGAAACTAGATTATGTTCTAATATTTCTCTCTTGTAATACACTCAGAATTGTCATTGATGGTTTGGCCTTTTGCTCGCACTTGGATTTAAGTAAGAATTCTTGCATTGGCAGGCTATACATCTTTGTTGAGGTTGGTGGTTCTCCCAAACTTTGCATTAGAGTATTTATTCCCTAATCTAAATTTCATAGTAGTGAGATCTATTTAATTATTTAACAGGAAAAAGGGCAAAAAAAAATGAGATAGATGATTTCAGTGCACAATTTTCATCCCTATATATCTCCTACCCTTTATCTCTCATACATAGCATATTATTGGAATATAGTGTAGGATAATATAATAAATACACAAATTAAATAAATAAAAGCATGGTAGTCAAAATCGCGATCCCACTCATAGGATCATATGATTCTACGATCTTCATAGAGTTTGGCAATCCTGTGAAGGCAGGCAAAAACTCAGATTTAGACGGGAATGGTGAAATTGCAGTGCAAAAACAGTTGGAGCGGTAGGATCTGTGTTCCTGCCGTTTTAGGCTGTTTCAAGCCAGTAGAATTACCTCTCCAATCCCTACTTTTTGTTGAGCTGATAGTGGTTTGTGGAGTTGATTGGGATGGATCGAGCCATGTTGTTTCGTTTGATGATTTCCCGATTCTTGTTGCTCATTTTGCTCTTGTATCTTGTGTTTTGTTTATAAATCTATGTCGTTAAAAGAAAAAATACACTTTGATACATGAACTTAAGTTCAAAAATACATATTTTTTAAAATTTTATTTAACTTTTTTAGTATTATTATTTTATTTCTTTTGGTTTCGCTGAAGAATGCTATCTTGTTCACTTTTAAGCAACAAATTGTTTTTTACAAAAAAAAAAAAAACATAAATTACTATTATGAAAAGAATAGTATAAAAATGAGGCATAGATGTAAGGGGCAGATTACTATAATAGGGGATATATTTATTTGGCTGGTCAGTCAGCTTTGAAAATTACAATTCATGCAAACAACTGCAGACACATGCATATTGACGGAGTGCCTTACAGCTGAGGCGTATTATACAACGAAAACACAAATTAAATATATAAAAGGAACCCTCTAAACAATATTATTCAAACACTGACGAAATATATACGTGAAGAATCCCCTCGATCTTCTTTATTCATGGCTTTCTTTGCTTTCACACTTTTTGTTTAGATCCTACACAAATACAAATATATATTGATGTGTCAGTTTGTATTGATACTCTAATCCATTAATAATCAAATATTGTAATAGAAAATTAATTTACGAGAAATGCAGACTAAAATATTAAAGAATGTTTCATTACCATATAGTGTGATGGCAATGATAAGCTATCTAGTGGTGGTAAGGTGGAGGAGGTGATTTGTAGTAATAGGCTGGTGGAGGAGGAGAACGGTAAAGCGGATGGGGAACATGAGGTCGGTAGGTGTGAACCGGTGGTGGTGGTGGTGATGGATACTTGTATGGCTTCTTGTGTGGTGTTGGTGGTGGTGGAGAGTGGTAGACAGGGTGAGGATGAGGGTAGGTGTGCACCGGTGGTGGTGGGGGAGATGGGTACTTGTATGGCTTCTTGTGTGGTGTTGGTGGTGGTGGTGGAGAGTGGTAAACTGGGTGTGGGTGTGGGTAAGTGTGAACCGGTGGTGGTGGAGAGTGGTAAACTGGGTGTGGATGAGGGTAGGTGTGAACTGGTGGAGGTGGAGGAGATGAGTAATGGTATGGATCTTTTGGTGGTGGTGGTGAGGAATAAGAATAACGGTTTGCTGAAATTTCAGAAGGGAAACTTAGAAAGAGTATGGCTAATGCAAGAGTGAGAGAAGCATAAGCCATTAGGGACCTCATTGTTTTTCTTGCAAGTGTGTTTTGGTTATGTGAAAGAAAGGTGGTGCAACCCCATTTTATAGGTAAATTCTTAAAGCATCTTGGTTAGTTAACTTACCTTCTAGGAACAAATATAGTACTATAGAGAGGTGGCTGGCTATCTTGGAATTATTACCGATTCTTATTGACTTTTAGACCAGTCCTACCCTATGTTTTTTGGAACAAATATGTTTACTCAATGTCCTCATTTAGAAGTTATATAATGTATGACATCAGATTATCTCTCTCTTAGATCAATAAAATATTATTTGTGATATTATAGTATTAGAGGATAATTTATATTGATCATATGGTCTTGATAATCAAAAGAACTATAAAATCAATAAAGAAAATAGAATTTATATAATTACCTCAAGGCATTAGTGTTGTCAGTGCACTGTCTTTGAGTAATGTATATTTTGAATAGTGAAATATGAGAACAAGTTTATGGACCAAAAATTATTTATAGGTTTGATTTTATCATCAAAACTTAAAAAAGTCATTCATCTAATGTAATAACTATTAAAAGATTAAAACTCCTAGAACCTATGCAACACTTAAATATGAGTTTTTTTTCTAACAATCAATTTATGGAAAAAACTTATAGCATTATATTCTACCCCACTTGGTTTATATGATATATTTAGGAAATTACTAATTCCACTCTAAACTGTGGAAAAACATCATATAAAAATTCGAAAATGTCATTTGGATTATGGAAATATATTTTTTGCACGCACTAAAAATACATAAAATACATGTGTAAGTGAATCACATTTTAATTTTATAAGTAAAAAATAGTCCTGAAATATATTATCGAAAAATTTGTTTTCATTACTCTATCTCAGTTGTCGGTGCTTTAACTCAACTTCAAAGCAACAAATTTTTTTTCTAGTTGTTGTGGTTGTTAACAATTTTTCCCAACTCTTTCTTAGCCTGATGTAGGAGGGTTGACTGCGCGTATCGAAGGAAAAATCGTGCGTCGGGACGGTTCGGCATAATTGCGAAAGTTTGGTGTCTGATGTCAGAATTTGATGTAGGAAGGTTGGTTGTGCGTATCGAAGAAGAAATCCCGCGTCCGAAAGCACTTTAGTATTTAAGCAATATTTTTTGTTTTAATATTTAAGCAGTTTCTATTTTAGTTAATTATGTTTTAGATTAAAGGCCCATATGGTCCAACCCATAATAATTATTTTGTTTTATCTATTTATAGACCTTTGGCGTGACCACAAGGATTATCTTTTCATTATAATAAAATTTTGAAGTTTTCTTTGTTCTAGTGGATTCCAGCTTATATGACAGGTTCTGTGCTTGCAACTCCGTATTTTTATTCTAGATTTAGCGCTTGTTATTCCCTAGGACTTTCAATTGCGTCAAAATTACTTGTATTATACCTTTTTGGAAACGGAATCGACTCTGCCTCCCATGAGTTCAACTCACTGATTTGCAGTGACATATAGATTTTTAAGCCATTTAAGTTCGTTTCAGACTTGAAATCAGCAGTTTACTATTTTGTTTTATTTAGGATTTGATTCTATTTTGGATTCGATTCTGTTTTAGATTATAAGATATGATCCTGTTTTAGATTAAAATATTTGATTTGATTTTACATTAAAAGTCCATTAGGGTCTCTTTAAGCCCATTAGGTTTTGCGCTTGCAAACCTGTTCTTTATTCTAGGTTTAGCGCTTTCTATTTCTTAGGGCTTCCGACTGCGTCATAGCCATATATAAGTCATTGTATCATTTCAATTACTGAGAAATACAATCTTGTTCCGTAACTTGTTTTTGTTGATATTATATGAGTGATATCTTAACAAAAAAAATATTTTCTCACACCATTAGAAGATAGAAGTTCTTCATCTTCGTCCAATTCACATCACGATTCTTCAATTCATCACACAAAAGATTCATCTACATCACAATAGTATAGCAGGAGGGAGGCTAAAAAAATTTCTTTTTACACACCAATAGAAGACGTAAGTTCTTCATCTTCGTCCAATTCAGACCATGATTATTCGATTCAACACACAAAAGATCCGTCTACACCACAATAGTATAGAAGGAGGGAGGCTCAAGAATTTTGTGGTTCACCGGTTCTGGAAATGTATTTTCGAAGACATTTCAAAAATATATTTTAGGAATAAATTTAACAGCGCACCTTAAACAACGCTTTTGTACAAAAGCGCTGCTATAAGTGAATAAAAAAAACACGGAAAACGTATAAAATAATTAGTAAAAGCGCTGCTAAACATATGACCTTAGACAGCGCTTTTAAAAAGCGCGACTAAAGGATTGCTTTAGAAAGCGCTTTATCATAAGCGCTGGCAAAGGGCCACTTTAGACAGTGCTTTAAGAAAGCGCTGTCTAAAGTCATAAAAATTTAAAAAATAATAGAAAAGCGCTGCTAAAGGTCACTATTAGCCAGCGCTTTTCAAAAGCGCTGTCTAAAGTCCATATTAGCCAGCGCTTTTAGAAAGCGCTGTCTAAACCATTATAAGTCAGAACTAAAAAAACAGAACATTTGTATTCACAGTATCACTATCACACGCAAACAAAAACCCTTTCCCTCGCGAAACCCATTTCCGTCTCCGTCTCAAATCGTCCTCCACCATTCGTCGTCGTACCGTCCTCCACCGTCTCGCTCCGTTTTCCTCCACCCACACCGGCCGGTTTTCAAGGTATGTTCTTTATTGAAAATGTGTTTAACTCCATTGAAAATGTGTTCTTTAGCATTTTTAGCATTTTTTGGATATATAACAACATTTGATAGGGCTTGATATACAACAACATTTAGCATTTTTAACATTTGGTAGGGCTTGATATATAACAGCAACATTTTTAGCACTTAGCATTTTTATCATTTTTTCAATTCTTGGTTCTATGTTTTGGAATATAAAACATGATATATGATGGTGAAACATGATATAAAACATGATATCTTGGTTCCATTTTTTGGATTCTTGGTTCTTGGTTCTGACTCACTTTTATATTGGGTTTATGTTTATGTTTATTACAGGTTATTAGATGGCTACTAACGACGATCACCCACGTGATGATTCTATGCATGATGGAGATAAGGCCGTTAGTAAAACGGAAATGGAATATAAAAGAGGAATAACAATAATGAAGAGAATAATACGGGATAAACACCAAGGCATAAAGTATGAAGTGCATTGGAGCCAAGAAGGCCAACTCATTGAGCCTAACGGTTCAACGTTGACAAGTTATCTCGGTTTCATGGTAAAAAGAGAAATTCCAATCACATGTGAAGATTGGAGAGCAAGAGTGTTGGACGACGCTAAAGATAAAATATAGAGTGAGATACAGGTACCATATGTGATGTTAATTGTTTTTAATGACGATTATGTCTCTAAATTACTTAGACTAACGCACTTTGTTTATGATTTTTGTAGAGGTCGTTCATCATTGAGGATACAAGGAGAGATTATATTCTTAAATTGGCCGGGAAACTACATAGAGGCTTTAGATATTTCTTGTCAAACAAGTTTCTAAGGGATGCAGATAAAATTTTTGTTGATGCAGAGCTTCCAAGGAAATATGTTGATTTGATTACAGCTGAAGAATGGGAAAATTTTAAATCGAAAATGAGTACCCAAAAATTTGAGAGCTTAAGTGTCGTAATTCGACAACGAGCATCAAGTCCAGCATATCCATACAGAAAAGGCCGTATGGGATATGCACGATTACAACAATCTATTGTAAGTATCTATAAATTGCAAAGTATCTTTAATATATACACGCTTATATTTAATCATGTTTTTTGGCTTAATGTGTAGCTAACAAAAGAGAATAATTCTGAAACATCTCTTCCGGAACACATTTTTTGGAAGGAAGCACGTGTGTGTAAGGATGGAGTTGTTGAAGAAAAAGTTCAACAAATTTTCGAGAGATGTGTAAGTATAACATTATTTATTTAATTACATCATACTTTTATTTATTTAATTACATCATTCTTTTATTAACATATCATTCTTTAATTACAATATTTATATGAATTTCAGGAGAGTCTTTCTCAGTCTATACCTCCAGACGAAGATACTGATTGCAGGAGAATACTCTCACGAGCATTAGATATTCGAGAGTATTCTGGTCGGGTGAAGGGTAAGGGATTTGGGATCACTCCAACATTCTTGGAAAAAAAACAAAGACAAAATCTCCAAGCAATAAAGAACTGCAGGAGAAGTTGGAAAAGTTACAACAAGAAGTCTATGAGCTGGGAAAGGAAAAGGAAATCGATCAAGCTACAGGCTTTAAAGATACTAGTGACAAAGCTAGTATCAATGGTAACTTTGGATAAAATATTCCCGAGGTAATTATATACCATCTTTATAAATTATAAAACCATGTTTATTAACTATATAACCATGTTTATTAATTATCTAACCATATTTATTAAATTATAGGGCATTTCCCGGTGTCAACTCTATTTGTCTACACCGATTTATCGGATGGTTGGCAAGGGAAATTGTATAATATCTCGGGAGAAATGCTTCACCATAGACCCCTCCCAGAGGGATTTTTGAAAGTATTGGTCGACGTCATTTTAGAGGGGTGTGTGTTGTTACCACTATCTGACGATGTGACAGATGCAACATTGGTGGCAGACGCAATAGGATTGTTTGTTACATGGCCATCAAGCCTCGTTTGCATAGATAATGAGGTATGCTTAAAATCGTCAACTATTAAAATTTTTATGGCAATTATACTTACATTTTGTTTATATGGTAATGTTAGACTCCCACTAAATCCATTCCAAAAAATAAGGGGATTAGGCGGGATACCGAGTCAATTGCATCATTTGAGGTAACACAATTATATGACATTATGCTATGAGAAATGCTAATTTGTGATTTTATACTTTCCCTAACTAATTATATGATAACTAGATTCATGCTAAAGAGACTGCACAACTCAGTAGGGGTAAGGCGCCTGAAATTAGCAACATTTCGACACAAAAAAAGAATGTTGCTAAGAAGACTGTGGCACACAAAAAAACTACTGCTCAGTTCAGGTCGTGCCTTCGGACATATTTAGGAATTACAGATATTCTGGATGGTGGTACCCGGCTTATATCTATGAGTGCAGATATCTTTGGTTTTGAATATTTTGAAGCAATTGGTATAGAGGACATGGAGCAAGTTTTTAGGCATTTGGAATTAGGCCTCGGTGTTATCGGTATATACATCAGGTATACTCCGATCAACTTTGTTTAATTAAATGAACAATTTAATCCCTCATTTCAATGAATATAGTATAATATTAATCATGTTTTAATTTAAGGTTTATGTATGACAACATTGTGCGCCAACGTGGATTAGAAGCAAGATTTGGCTTCTTAGCTCCCAACACTGTCAATTCCGAGTTGATTGTAACGAGACCAGATGATGTCATATCATATGTACTAGGTTTATTCGTGGCCAGTAAAGATACCGAGAAGTTGTTATTTTTGCCATATAATACTGGCAACGGGTTAGAATTTCATCATAACTTAATCTATTATAATTTTCCGTTTTTGTCCATTGTTTAATATTTGTTTAATCTTACAGTGGACACTGGTTATTGGTTGCGATTCATCCTATGAGGGAAACTATGTATTATTTGGACTCGTTATACAATGATTGGTCAACATATCCAAATTTGAAACAGATGATTGACACGTAAGTGTTTCGCTCCCAAAGAGATATTCAAGTTTATGTTTATGTTTATGGTCAACATATCTGGATTTGTGTTTATGTTTATGATTCTATAGCATTCTACTTGCTTTTCTCTCCCAACGAGATATTCAAGTACCAAAAAGTAGAGCGAACAACGTTACATGGATCAGAGTGGAGGTATATTTTCACAAAGAGATATTCAGTTTTGCTTACTTTAGTGATGATACTTGATAAAACAATTTAAGGGGTATATCCTGATATATATTCATATTTTCTTTCCATGTGTAGTGTCCTCGGCAGCGTAACGGTATAGATTGTGGCTATT